AAGGTTCTCCATCACTGCCCTAGTTGTTTAGAATCAAAGTGTGATGTTGTCTAACATATCAGGCCATGATGTTGCTAATAGAGTTACAGTAAAACCAGTGGTGCCAATGGTTTCATTCACAGAACAAGGACACGCTAGAATTTCAACATTGATGTACACTGTGTAGACAGGAGCATGTGCACTTTGACACACAGCAAAGAGTGGACGAGCGCATGCGCACATGGACACACAGCAAAAAAACAGAAGCTGAAGTTTTCAAGTCACCTATGCAAAATATTTTTCTGTTTTCTCAACTCATAGAGCCAACTCTTTTTAAAAGATTTATTGGCAAAAAAAGAAAAAGATTTATTGGCAGATTCTTCTATTTCCACTGTTTTTCACCTAAAATCTAATAATTTCTTGATTTATTTAGTTATTAAAGCTTTGACAGTCACTCACATGTAAGAATTCAGGGTGACTTTTTTATTTGATGTGTGACAGACCAGCTGTATATTGGGTGGGAAATCAATTAATTGATAGATAATTTATTCAAAAGCCATTATCCTAGTTCCACAGAGGATAATAAACAACATAATAGTGTTAAAACTATTGTATAATTTGCCATAACAAAATCCCATAGACCATGGGGTCCATATAGTACAAATTTATTTTCTCACAAATCTAGAGGGCTGTAAGTTCAAAATCAAGGTGTCGGTAGGATTGTTCTCTCCTCATGTCTCCCCTTGGCTTGCAGACAGTGCTTTCCTACTGTCTCTGCAGGTGGCCTTTCCTCTGGATGCACACATCCCCGGTATCTCTACCTCTTGTAAGGATGCTGTGGTTCTGGAGGCTCCATCCTAATAGTCTCATTTTTAACTCATTCACCCCTTTAAGGCCATTATTTCTAAACTGCCACATGCTGAGGCACTAGAGGTTGGGATTTCAGCATGTGAATTTGTAGGGTCACAATTCAGTACCCTAATAACGTGGGAAAATAAAAGTCTTTTCCATTCTTAGGGTTTTCTCTACACACCAGGTGAAAGTTTGAAAAAATATGCCCCATCCAGGATAGAAGTTATTTAAACACTGAAATAATTCATGCAGAGAAATTAATCTCCCAAGTGTGCATTCCTGGAAATTCAGTGCTGGGCAGGGTGGGGGAGGGCAGGGCTGTGCAGTTAAGTAGGTCTGGGATTGGCTGATGTGCTGGGAGCAGATGGCAGGGGAAATTCTGATGCAGGAAACCACGGGCTACACTTTGAGACCTGCCACCCTGGGCCTCTCCCTTGTTCCAGGGATCCTGCTGGTCCCAGGACAGAGCCACCTTCCCTGGCATGCTCCCTTCTGAGGGAAGACAGAAATGCAACTCCCTCAGAGACTAGTAGCAGGTCTCAGTGCAGAATTTCAAAGGAGATCTGCAGCAATTGAAAGGTGTTATGAAAGTCTCATGTGAAAAACTGTTGGTAGAGGCAGCTCAGGAATTGATTGGTGGTCTACATTTGAAATTGAAAGGAAATGCTAAATAACACGTACTTTCTTCACCCCGGTTCACAAGACCCTGATGCTGCCCATGAATACTGTGGGTATAAGTTATCCAGGCTAGCATACCTGCTCAGTTAGGCTCTGTGGTCTGGTGCCGAGAGCCTGGAGACACCCACCTCTGGCTGAGTGCAGCTGTTCACTCTGGGGAAAGGGAAATCACTACTCTCCCTTGGGCATTGGGTTTTGCTTCACTGGGGAAATACGAGGCCACTAGAAAAACAAGTCCGTGGACTTAACACTGGGGCAGTGCTGATTCCCTGCCTAAACCTCACAGTGCACAAGGAGGGATGCTGAGGGCCCTTCCAAGGACAAGCAGCCTGCCTGTTGATGAGGTCCTTGGTTCTCACTCTGCACATATTTGGTGAGAACCTTGCTTTCTGCCAGGTAGCAGGGGAGACCTGGGGAGCCCACAGTCCAGAAGAAAGACAGCCAAGAAGTGAGGCTGGTATACCTCCTTTAGTCCATGTGGGAATGAGATGGCAGTGTGGGGTTCTCACAAACTTCCCTCTGGGGCCAGCCTGGAGAAGTCCAGGCCATGCCCAGGAGTTCAGCTCAAAAGAAGCAAAGGGTACAAGGCAGCCTTGTAGCATTGGGATGGGCATGGACATCATTCATCTGGAGGGCACGGGAGATGGGGGCAGGGAAGTTGGGAAGTTTTAAGTGGAGAGAAAAGACAAATGCTTTCTTCTGCATGGCACTTGGATAGTGAGAGTGCTCACCCGCAGATCCTCTCCCCAGGAGAGGAAAGGCCTGCTTCTCTCAAGACCCCAAAATCTTTGATAGCTTCTTGTCCCCAGGCCTTGGTTTTGCCTGCTTGTTTCTGTGCTGGTTGTGATGTTAGGACTGGTTTTCTCCCATTGATCCAGACTAGCCATCTGGATCACACAATCACCATCCCCCCACCTTGAGTTGTGATCCCATCTATTTATAAGCCAGGTAGAGTACAGACAGTACTAAACCAGCAAATGTAGAATAAGTAATAAAGCCTTGCAGGGTGCAGTCCCTTGAAAGAGTCCCCAGTGTGGGCCTGCGATGTGAAGGACAGAAGTAGTTTGGTTTTATACTTGCAACCAGAGACTGACTCATGAGAAGCCCACAGGGGATTCCTGTTGACCAGAATCCATTCTTTCCTAGGTAGAGATAACAGGATGACTGAAGGGTAGTTGGTGAACATGGACTCAGACAAAATGGATTAGAGTCACCAAACACACGGAGGGATTGTGCCCACCTCTCGGGCCTGCCAGGCCGACCAGGCTCTCCCTGCCTTGACAAGCCGCCTTCTCCAGCTTGGTTAACACCATTGACTTGGCTCTAGCCTCTTTCACAGTCAGACTTGCATTCAGCTTTGGAGCCCTGCCCTTCCTCCTGGTCCCTGGGAGATGGCCAGCTCCAAGGCCTCTAAAGTTCTTGTAAGATGGCATGTCCCCTACACAGGGGCGCTCAACCCTGTTCACAGTGCACAGTTGGCCCAATGGGAAAGGGTTATTGACATGCAGTGAAGACCAATTTAAAGGACAGATTTGAAATTGATCCTTGTCTAAAACAGTCTTTTACTTTTAAGGTCAGCCTAGTTAGTAGCACTAGTTAGCCTCCCTGAAAATGCTTAAAAGAGCAAGGAGCAAGGCACTGTGGTCCAGTGGAGGAGCACGGACTGAGAAGACATGATTCAAGGGGATTACCATGGGGCTGATGGTGAAAGACTCACTTTCACCAAGGCTCACTGTCCTCAGCACAGTTGTGCTAGCCTGTGTGTTGCAGTGACAATACAGGTACACGCATGGATCTAATTGATTCTCTGGAAGGGATAGCTGCTGTTGCAGTGATATAATATTTTAAAATTCAAATTTTTTGACAGCCCATTTTGGAATGAACTGTTTCTGTCTTAATTCTTGTTTTCCAGCAGCTGTGACAAGTCCAGCAATGTCCTTTTAGCGTTTCCCTTCCATTTCTGTTCACAGAAAGCAAGCCATCCAGCATTATCTCAACAGAAAGCATTTATTTCCAAGGCATGCATTTTCCATCTTAACTTTTGGTGCTTGAGCTAACTGTTAAATTCTAAGAAGTTCTCTGCAATTAGGAGACTATTGAGAATAGAAGAAAAACAATTCTGCTGTTTGAGATTTGGGACACGTGTTATATAGAACTTATGTCACTCCGGTGGCCATTGTAAACTCTAACAGAGGGAGTCTCAAATTTTAATGAAATCAGCTCAGGGGGTGCTGTGCAGTGGGAGAGCAAGAAAGGATTGTGTCTTGGGGATGAGTGAAAAAGAGGAGCCACTTGAAGAACATTCATTTTCCATCAGACTTGGATAGGCTACACTTCTGGTAGTTGCATGAAAATCCTCTACTTATAGTCCACAGGCCCAGGGCCACCCCATTCCGCAGTGACCACTGCAGTGGGGGTGGAATTGAGCAGCACAGCACTGGGTTTAGCTTCCAGGCTCTTCATTTACCTTGGCTCAGAAGCTTTCCCTGCTAGGGACCTTCTAGATAGAACAGTTTTATCTGAGAAGTGAGGAAGCGAAAGGCAATTCCATCCCTTGAAAAAGTTGAACATAAGTGAAGCTGTCCCTTGGTGAGACAGTAAGGAGGAAGATGAGAACAGGGTACTGAAGAGTCTAGTACATGACTGCCAAAGATGCACTGGAGAGCCCGGTGTGGAACAACAGCTGAGGAAACAGCAGGCAGGGATCAAGCGAGAGGCCACAGCAGCTGACCCAGCCACGCTGTGCGGCAGCCCGGGTCCTTTGGGGTTCTCATCTCACCATAACTTGTCCCCAGTGCTGGACACAGAGTCATAGGATTTAGTGTTTGCCCTGCTGGGTTTCAGTTTTGCTTTGGTCCCAGTCCTTTCTATCTCCATTCATCCTTTTGGAATGGAAACATTTGCCCTGTGCCATTGTATGTCAGCAGTGTTTAACTTCTTTTTGATTTTTACAGGGGCTCACAGCTAAGAGTTTGTGTTAAGTCTCAGAGGAAATTTGGACTTAGATTTTTGAGCAGTGCTGGAACTGTTAAGACTTTGGCAACCTTTAAATGCAGTTTGCATACAGAGATATGCATGAATCTTGGGGGCTAGGGAAGAACGTTACAGTTTAAATCTAAATGTCCCTCTGAAGAGCTTCACATGCTTCCAGGCTTTTGGGGAGGAGCTTGGCTTATGGGGGTGTATAGCTGACTTGCTGTTACTAGGGGGATTCTGGTCAGAAGAGGAGGATCACTGGGACATAGCTTGGAAGACTGATCTCCTTTTCCAGCTCCTTCCTTGTTCTGTGTTTCCCAGCTGCAAGGGGGTGAGCAGCCTTCCTCTGTGCGGCGGGTCCTTCCCCATTCTGCTTCTGCCCTGGAGCCAGCAACTATGTACTGATGCTTGTTTTTAAAAAAGCCAAAATAAAGCTCTCCTTCTTTAATTTGTTGGTGTTGGGTATTGAGTGCCAGCAATGAGAAAGTGGCTAGGATGCTGTTTTGTCTTTACAGATTTATCAGCAAGACTGTTGAAAGTATAACCATCCAAGATGCCTGTCCCTCCCCCACCGGCGCCCCCACCGCCACCCACATTTGCACTGGTGAGTGTCTCCTCTCCATTCATTTTCTATGCCTATTGCAGATCAAAAGAAGCCCAAATCTGGCATGCAGGTGTGCATTTTGAGTGTGTGTGCATTCTGGCACAGACATGGTATAGTAGGCTTTGCCAGGACCCAGAGTAAGCGAAGCCCTGAGACCTCAAGAATCTAAACACCTTGAAACATTTGTTTACTGTCTGCTGCCATACACTGTGTGAACATGCAGTGGGGCTCCTTAAGTTTCCACTGACCTGCCCATCAAGGGAAATTTGCAGGAGCTGTTCTAAGGTCAGCATAAACTGTGTCCACTCAGCATCCAGCCTTTCACTCCTGGGTGGACAGTCTGAAAACCCAGGATGCTGTGAGCAGTGCATCCAGCATGTGTTGTCCATCCCACTTTCTTTTTCTTTGCCCTCTCCTTTCTTTCCACTATTTTTGATCTATCATCCCTATCACCAGCCGCTTTCCCACCTGTACTCACGTGCCCCTTCTAGACTGTCCATACATTTAAGTGTTTACTGCCCATGTTCACTGCAACCACCTGGCCTTCCAAAGGCCTGTGGGAAAGTTAGAGAACCCTGTTGCGGGGAGCCACATGGTGGTATGAAGGTACCAGGACACATCCATTTCCAGGGCCTCCCCTGCACATGATACTTGCACCACTAGAAGCCTCACGCTGGTGCTCCCTTCACTTTCATACACGGACACTAAGGCTTGGGGAAACAAAGTCACTTTTATTCATCCATTCATTCTTTCTTCCTCCCATACTGGGAACTGAATCACTGCCTTACACATGCAGGGCAAATGCTTTTCCACTGAGCTACATCCCCAGCCCTTTTCATTTTACAAAAATCCATTGTTATTTTACCAAATCTATTACAGATTTTTAAAGTTTTCTAAAAACTTGTCTTTTGCATGGATAAGTTTGAGGAGTTCTGATCCAGCTGACATAGCAAGATTGGTTTCAATTTCTCCCAAAATGTGAATTGTATACACTACTGGATAGTAATGGATTAATTTTTTGAATTTTAATGCTTATGTATTTATTTTAACATGTCTTCTAAAAATTTTGATTAGCATGTAAAATGCAGGACCTAACAGTGAGTTAACTTAATATGCTCATTGAAAAATAATATAGTAAATAATACAATGAGTTGGCTTGATAAAATACTGAGTTCTAACACAGGTGGCACAAGAATACTGCACGAGAATGATCAAAGTTTGAGGAACCTCTGTCTATCCTGTCAGCTGATTTCTATCCATTGTTACCTAATGCAAAGCAAGATCTTGGAGAAAGAGGCTAGAGAGAGAAGAAAAGGGAAAAGAAGGCTGGTGGCCATCATGGGACATTGCCGAGTGGACTGGTGCAGTTAAGGTCTTTGATCTGCCATAGGAGAGAGGCAAACACTCAAGCTCAGATGTCAGAATGAAAAGGAAGCCACTGAATGTTGCTGACCCCAGGTTGTTAGAGATCCAGTAAGGCAAGGTGGTCAACCTCCCTAACCCTTAGCTCATTTTCATTCTTACTATGAAGCCAGGAGGTAATTTTTAAAGCTCTTTCCAGGACGTCCGAGGTCTGCTGTTGTTCAGAAAAAATAAGTTTCAGAGCAGGGAGGGATAAAGCATTAGCAAATGTAAGCTGATATGCAGGGCACTTCTGGAAGGACCTTCTGAGAGCCTCTTCCAGGATGTGCTGGTGGCTGAGGGAGGCGCCCAGGTTTAGCCTTTTGTCTGATGATAGGGAAGACCCTGGAGTCAGACTGTCAGAGATTGAATCCCAGCTCCTCCTCTTACTAACTGGTGATGAGGCAAACCATATAATCTCCCTCTGCCTCAGTCACCTTCTTTGTGAAGTAGAAATAACAACTCACATTTGATGAGAACTAAATGAAATAATACACATACGGCACTGACAACAGTGTCTGGCCCAGCATAAAAGCTGTATTATTATCATTATCATAAGAAAGTAATCTCTTATAATTTAATTATTTCAAGACACTTCCAATTTAATGTACAATGGTTTCATGTACCTACTTCAGCATTTTTCTGAACTCTCTAACTCCAGTAATAGGAGGGTGGATGAGATGGCGCTAGGTGGCCCATCTGAAAGCACATCCCATCCAGGAGGGCTGGGTCCAGCCTAGGAGGACTCTCGCATCTGCTCCCTGGGCCCAGGTGAGGGCAAGCCAGTTTCCAGTGTGACAGCCACAGGCAGACGCTTACTTCTGAGTCCACATGCTGGACACTTAGGTGTCTCTGCTCCTAAATGATCCTGAAGAAACAAGATTGATTTCAGGGACTCTAGAAATACTGGAACATACCTATACATTTTATAGCAGTACCTCTGTCTACTCTGCAGGTTCTTCAAATGGACTAAACATCAGAAACAAGTAGACCAAAGGGACAGCAGGGGACTTGAGAGAATAATAATGAAAATGTTCTGTAGTTTGATTGTGGTGTGGTAACACAACTGTAAGAGTTTGTCAGAACTTACAGAACTGTAACCTGAAAGGATTAGTTTACCAGATGTAAATTATACTTAATTAATCTCACTTAAATATTAAGCATCTTTGTCAAGGTACTAAGAGGAACTTGTTTTCAGAAATTGCAGCGAGTTATTAAACCCACCATTATTTACTAGAGACAGTTTTTCCTGTGCACCAGGTTAGTTCTACAAGATGATAAAGGGATCTTACCCTTTGGGACACACCCTGGAGAATAAAGCCTGAAGTGTCCTGCAGAACCCTGAGACTGAAAGTGCCCTTGTCATGTGTAGCCAGCCATCAACCCTCACCGTGGCTGCATTAGATACAGGCAGACTGTGGTCTGAATTTTCAGAGACTTCTAGAAGAAGCTGACTTCCTGCCTTGAAAATGAATGCAATTTACTGCTGCATCTGCTCTCAAATGTCTAGGTCATAAAAAAACGTAACATGGACTCCAAAACTTGTGGAGGATTTATAGCCTTTCTCTAAGAACCTTAATAGCAAACCAATACTCTCCCTTCTGCTGAGTAGTATAGTGCATCATTTTAATCCAGGAGCTGCAAACAAGTCTGTGGTTTCCTTTCAGGCCAATACAGAAAAGCCTACCCTAAATAAGTCAGAGCAGGCTGGGAGAAATGCTCTTCTGTCTGACATCAGCAAAGGGAAGAAACTAAAGAAGACAGTCACCAATGACAGAAGTGCACCAATTTTGGACAGTAAGTGAAAAAACAATTTCCCAATGAGATAGATGGTTTATAGCCTAACAATCAACTGTATACCTCCTCCAAAAAAGTGAGGGTTTTGTTTGGTTTTATTTTATGTTTTTTGTTTAACAACAGCTGCAAAGCTAACAAAATAAGGGATTGTTCCACTCACTGTAGGCCACAGCTTTGGCTTGGGCTCTCTTCTAATGCAGCAGGATGCTGGTATAATAATTCTTTGTCCGAAACATACACAGCAGTGATTCTCTGAATTATTCGCAATATTTTTCTGTAGTTTAACCCATTGCTCCTGGCCCCACAGATGAGATGGGTATGAAAATATGGAAAATTCCCTTTCCTTGAGATCAGAGGATGGAGGGCACGTCCATTGTGTGGTCTCATTTGTGAAGTGGAGCTGGATACCTGTTCTACTGACAGCACAAATTTGTTGTGAGCTTCAAGTGAGCTTGTACAAGTGCTTTGTTATCTGACAGTGTAATTCAAATGTAAGATGTGATTAGCAGAAACTTTGAGAGAGAGAAAATGAGACCACATTTTTTACTTATCTACCCATTTGAGCCTGAGATAAGTTTCTACAAACAATTACCCACAACACAAGGCTACTTATTAGCATTTTCAACAGAGTAAAGAATCCACTGATCATTAGTAATCAGGCCTTGAGACTGGCCTTTCACATTTTTAGACCTTTCCACTGCCCACCAGATATTACCGAGACTCATCCAAGATCTCATTTGGACTCAAAGGAAGTACACTGACCTTTGCCAAATCAGCACGTGGAGTTTTGTAGACAAGTGAATAAAGATGGTGGATTTCAGCAAAGTAGTGCTTGGGGATCCCTGGGAAAAGTGCCTGAGAGTAGAAAGAGAAGAAGGATCAGAGTTAGAAGGGAACATGGGTGTGGGGAGGAAATGAAAAGAGGAAGATTAAAATAAGGTCTTTGAACATTGTTCTGCTAACAGGCAAGGTGGTGTATACCACTCCTCAAAAAAAGGAACTGTGGGGTTTTTGACTCTTGATTTGAAACCCTGTGACCTCTCAGTCAAAACACTCATCAGCGTCACAGGATTTTCCCTGGGATGAACCCAGCACAGTCTGGCAAGCTGTGGCCCAACAGCTGTCTGAGTTATAATCCCTCGTGTGAGGACCTGGAGAGTTAGTGTAAATTCCCAATGCTGAAGGAAACTGGGCAGTCTGGGCCTACTTCTCAATCCAGTGGAACTTACTGTATTCTTCAAGATCCGCTTCCCCAGTTATAAGGAAACAGTGGCAGTCCTCCCCTCTGGCTGTTCAGTAATGTTTAAGAGTATACTGCTTCTGCCAGGCATCCTGGCACATGCCTGTAACCCCTGCTATTGGGAGGCTGGGGCAAGAAAATTGTTAAGTTCAGGGTCAGCCTGTGCAATTTAGCAAGACCTTGGAGAACCCAACTCATTTGAAAAAGAAAAAAAGCTTCCCTCAATGGAAGCAAAATGTACAAGATGAACCCAGTACATGTCCTTACAGCCTATGCACTGGACAGCTATATTGCTATCACAAGCTCTTTGCCCGTGGTTTTGTGTTTGCTTGCATGTGAAATCACCCGAGACTGTATATCAAAATGTTGCCCATGATTATGCGTGACAGCACTTGAATTCAGCCCCGTCTTGCAGTGCTACAATTTATACAGAATTATGTGAAGCAAGTTAGCTATCCTTAATTTTATCCTTTTTGTATGACTCCATTTTCTGTTATAATAATAAAATACCAATTAATTCAATGTCATATAAATTATTCTCCAACAGGAAAAGATGAAAAAAACTATCTGAGAGGTATAAAAAAGTGTCATAATCCTAATACCAGAATTTGGTAAACACAGCACACACAAAAAAGAAAGTTGTTCATAAGTGCTTTTATTAGTGGTGATTTTTGCCTCCCAGAAGACATGTAGCAATGTCTGAAGATATTTTTCCATGTTTTTGTGTATGTGTTTTGTTTGCAGTGCCAGGGATCAAACATCGGGCCTCATGTATAGTATACTAGACAAGTGTACCTTTGAGCTACTTTCCTGGTCCTGGGGACACTTTTGGTTGTCACTTGGGGGTAGGAGACACCTAGTGGGCAGTGGGTAGAAATGCAATAAACCTTCCATAAAGAACAGAACCGCCACCCAGAACAAAGGATTATCCAAAACTAAATGTCACTACAGTAGTTCCAAAACTAGAAAACTCATCTGAGATAATTTATGATCATGGATGAGAGAATACCATGCTTTAAAAAAAACCTAATTATGTTATAAAAATAATTCACCAAGCCCAAGGTTCATTTATACTATATTTAATACTAGATCTACCATATCAAATAAGATAACAATATAATCAAATTAGTAGATATTTAATTGGCATTTGATAGAATTCCATGCTACAAGAAAGTCTTAGAAATCTAAAATAGAAGGATTCTTCCTGACTATACATATTTTTTTAAAAGCTTGTTTCAAACCAATAGTTGATATTAGAGGTAGTTGCATTAAAATCAGAACAGTTACCTTTAGCACCATCAATAATTCACGTTGTTATGAAAGTACAGCCATCAAAGTAGTTACCTGTGTAAAAGAGAAGATACACACCTTTCAGAAGAGGAATTTAAAAGCTTTATGATTTGCAGACTATACATCTACCAGAAAATGCAAGGTCGTAATTTTTTTGTAAATTTTAACTTAGAATATACAGTAAAGTGGCTTATTAATCAAATGAAATTTCCTGTGCCAATACTAACCAGTTATAAAATATAACAGGAAAATTCCCTTTTCACAATTTTAACAAACAAAAATGTACTTAGAGTTAAAAAACTTCAAAACTTCCCAAAAAAATCCAAAAGACATGAATAAATAGAATATACTACATTTCCAAATGTGAAGTATAAATATACAGTTCTCCCAGATTAATTTATACATATTCTTACTGATTCAGAGACTCAATCTAGTTTTAGAGAGGTAGAACTTTAAACAATATTTAACCTAACAAATGCAAATAGACAGCCAGGTGTGTTGGTGCATGCCTGTAACTGGAACACAGGGAAGGCTGAGGCAGGAGGGTCACTGTGAGTTCAAGGCCACCCTGAACTATGTAGTGAGTGAGACTTTGTCTCAAAAACAAAGAACAAAACAAAAAAAAACTATACTGGCTTACTTTCTCATTGCTGGGACAAAATACCTGACACCCATAAGTTAAAGGAAGAAAGGTTAACTTTCACACCCTTTGTAGAGGCTCAATACCTAGTTTGATGGCTCCAAGGTAGGGTGGCACAGAGACATGGCAGAGGAGAAACAGTTCATGGTGTGGCGGGCAGGAACTGGAGAGCCATCAAGGGAAGAGGGATGGAGACAGATACACATGTGTGTTTCCTTCCAGGCCGCTCCCACAACGACCCGCCTCTTCCCACCAGATTTTGGCTCCCAACATCACACGCAGCTATAAACCCATCTGCGAATTAATCCAGAATCACACACCCATGATCCAGTCATCCTCCCAAATCCCCACCTATAAGTACATGACGCCTTGGGGGAACATCTAGATGTAATCATACATACATTTATAATTAAGCAATTAATTTTATAGAGGGTATAATCATGGCTGTCACACAAATATAAAATGAACATGTTAGGCATTTATTTAACTCATTAACTAATGAAGGAACAAGTATGTCATTAGTTCAAAGGAAAATATAGAACAAAGTACACACATATAAGCACTGAAATGAACTTATAGCTACGTGCAAAATAGGTCAGTAATCAATTCCTTTGAACTGAGCAAATTAATTTGCATTTTAGACAAATACAATTATCATTACTAGCAGTCTTCTACAATTTACAGTTATAAAATGGCTCAGCTGAGCATGGTAGCACACACCTGTGATCCCAGCACTTCAGGGCTGAGACAGGACGGGAGTTCAAACTGCAGCTGAGCAACATAGCAAGACTGTCTCAAAACAAAAACAAGGTGGGTTTGGTGGCATATGCCTTTAAGCCCCAGTACTGGGGAGTCTGAAGTAGAAGCATCTCTGTGAGTTCAAAGCCAGCCTGGACTACTTAGTGAGGTCTTATCTCAAATGAAACAAAATAGCTCAAAGGTAATAAGAAATAAATGAGAAAGCAAGACAGGACACTCATTAATCTTTTTTGCTTGCTTGCCATTTTTTTTTACCATTTTTTGCAAATAAAGTCTTGTGCCTTCTTGATTTGCCAAAACTTTTAAAGTTGTTAAACTTTAACCCTACTCTTGGGTTTTATGATATTAAAAAAATAAAATCAACCTAAAAGGCCATCAAATAAGGAGGTAGTTAATTAAATTATAATACATTAATGTTTTAAAATATAATATGGCCCAGTAATCTCACATTTTTAAAGAATGATGACATGAAAAATGCTAACAATAGTTAGTGGGTTTTTTATGTTCTTCAATTATTTTTTTCCCTAAGCTTCTCACTAAGTTCCCAGACTGCACTCAAACTTGTTACCCTTCTGCCTCAGCCTCCCAGGGTGCTAGGATTACAAGTGTGTGCCACCATGCTCAGATAAATTTGTTATTAATTTTAACAGAAAACATGAAAAATACAAGAAAAAATACACTTCAATACTGGATATGTTCAAGGAGTAACGTATGAGGTTTTGTTTTGTTTTGGGGTTTTGTGTGTATGTGTTTACTATTTCTCCCTTGTTTTATTTACTGTTTCCTTTTCCCTCACCTTTATTGTATCTCTTTGCCTTGGAACATTCCTTTGTAGATCTTTTTATTTGCTAAAGCTTAGGCTGTAGGACAAACAGGTATCAATACATAGGACAGCCAGCGAAGCAGGTCATGAGGACAAAGCCTGAGCTCTTACTGTTTATTCCACTGCTGGGCTAGGCCCGACCTGCAGCAGGAAGAAAACCTCTGTTCTGCCCAGCAGTAAGGCAAACCCCTAAAACGCTGCAGCTGCCCCCCAGGGGCCCAGGTTTAGCCTCCACCCTCTCTTAAGGTTTCCTTGGGCTAGGTCTGGTGCCACACTCTAGTGGAGTTTTCATACATGTATTTTCTTCCTTTTGCAGAGCCCAAAGGAGCTGGTGCTGGCGGTGGAGGCTTTGGCGGAGGAGCGGGCAGCGGAGGAGGAGGAAGCAGCGGTGGTGGTGGAAACTTTGGAGGGGGCGGACCTCCTGGCTTGGGAGGACTGTTCCAGGCTGGAATGCCCAAGCTGAGATCCACGGCCAGTAGAGATAATGGTACCAAGTTTCCTGTTCTGAGTACCTGAAGCAAAGGCAAAGTCTGTAGACTTGGCAGATCCACTAAGGCTCTGTGCCCTTTAGAACATTTTAGATTAGTTGAGATGTTATCTCTGTTTTATAAGAAAAGTGACTTAGTTCACCCTTCTTTCTTTCCTTCCTCCCCCTCTGCATTCGCTCCTTCCTTACTTCTTTTCATCATTCAGGGTCAGGCAGCTTCACAGAGCTATGAAATATGTGCCCGTGTTCTTGGGGGAACCTGTCCTTTCTTGTATTTTTCTAAAAGGTGAGCTAAAATGGGAAGAAAAGGAAAGAGCACATGGAACTTGGTGCCCCAGAACTCTGCCCTGTGGCCTGGCAGGTGCAGCTGTGTGAGGTAGCCTTCCCCAGATGTCCAGCATAGCAAAAATACTCGCCAGCCACTTTTCAAATGCACTGGGAAATCTTTGCATGACACACATTTGACATTTCAGAGCCAGCTACCCTAAAGCTGAGAACCCCTTATCCAAAATGCTTGAGGCCAGAAGTATTTTGAATTCCAGATTTTAGAATATTTGCATATGTATATTGAGATATCTTTGGAATAGTACCTAATTGTAAATATAAAATTCATATTTTGTATACTCTTACATGTACTACTCTGAAGGTAATTTTATACAATATCTTTAATAATTTTGTGCATGAAACAAAGTTTCATGATACAGAATTTTCCTCTGGTTTCATGTCAGTACTCTAAAAGAGTGAGATTTTAAAGTTAGTGTGTGGCTCAATGGGAGTGTGCTTCCCTGCATGCACAAGGCTTGGTTTGAATCTTAGTAACACAGACACACACACAGTTTCAGATTTTTGAGCATTTTAGATTTTCAGATTTAGGGATACTCAACCTATGTCCTCTGCAGGGAGCCATGCAAAGGACCTGTAGGATTGTCTGTGAACCCAAAAAAAAGAAAAATTGAATCTGGTCTTGCCTCCATGAAAAACCCTGCAGAGTACACTAGGCTCTCTCACTACTACAGAAGCTCAAATTCACTGTGAAACTTTTGGGAGGGGTAATGTTTCTCATGTTAGAAGAATTTTATTCCTACTTCTGTGACCTTTTAAAATGTCCTCTGGAAAAGTGAAATTCTCACATTCCTCTGAAAATAAAGTCACTGACTCCTCAGGGTTATTCGACTTAGTTTAGCACTGAATGTTCAAAATCTCGAAAGAGGCCCAGTAACAGAGAGCCTATCTTGCCAGATTTGTGTTTAAATTTAAATTTAGTTATTTAAAACCCAAAAGAAGTCGAGGCAGCTAACAAATACATACATTCAGTACTTCAGCAGTAGGTGAAAAGGTATGATAAAAGATAAAAATTAAAATCAAGATGGAATTGATATAAATATACTTTTGTTGTGCAAAAGAGCTCTGTGTTAGGTGGATGGTAACTCTGATAATTTGAACTTACAAGGTATAGCCTTCTGCAAATTGATAATGTGGAATTATATCACTGAGATAAGGAAGATAAGGCTTTTTTTTCCCCTAGAGCTAACATCTAAATAGAAAATTCTGTCTAGAGTTCATGTTATTACACTGAATAAATTTTTCCAACTGCTTCATATTGTGTCTGGAATAAAATCTGAACTCCTGGCCTACCAGGTTAGCCACCAGGCTGCAATTCCAGTATTGGGAGTTCCTATGCCCACTGTGCCCTGGACAGACAGTCTGCTTTTATGAAACTTATGCCCAAGTGAGGGCCTCTGCACCTGCTGGCCATCTGCTTGAAGTGTCTCGCTGCCGCCTTCTCGTCCCATGGGCGGTCTCTTGTCAGCTCTGGGTAGAGTGTCATATCCTCAGAAGAGCTGTCCCAGCCATCCCATCTGTCCTGGCCTTTCCAACCATTCCCGATTTACTTTAGTTTGACAACCTAAAACTATCTGAAAGTATTTATCGACTGTCTTATTATCACCTCCCCGCCCAAGGATAAACTTCAGCAGAGCAGGATCTTTTCTATTTTTATAATTTCTCTGTCTGCAGGATCTAGAACAGTGGTGGCAACCTATGCCACATGCACTGCAGCAGGCTGTACAGTATCACTGAAAGCTCTAAAAGCTCATCACTGACCTAGAATAATGACTGAATTACAGGTGCTCATTAAATATTTGACACCCATTAGCTTGTGACTGAAGTGGTAGAATTTTAAGGTTAACCATGTTTTAGAGACCTCACCTTGGATTTCAAGGTTTTAGGTATGAGGATAAGATTTTCTGTATCTTTTGTTTCCTCCTTTAGTTTTTCCCTAAACTTTGGTTTACTAGTTGAAGGAAATTTGGCTTAACCAGAGAAGCTGTAAGGTTGTTCTCTCCTGCCAATATCAAATTGGAAGTGGACCTGGTAAGGAAAAAAAGTTGAATAGTTGCCTACATCTTTGCAAATGAATTCCTTCCACTAGTGTTGATTGTTTTCATTAATCTTTGACGAAAAGTTTCTTTTTTCCTTTCTTAGTTCTTTCTTAATGCAGTCCTGACTTTTCTATTAAATTCTCCCCACTTCTTGGGCACTTCTTTGCAAGGAACTGGATAAGCCTGTAAATACGGAAAGTCATCTGAGATAACTAATTTACTTAAGGTGGCTGAATTATTTTTCAAACCTGAAAGGTACAGAGGCCAGAGGACAAGGATTGGCAGTGGGGATAAATGAAAATCATTAGCAGAAATCCTATCTCTACCTGGGCCATCTTGTTTCTGCCCTGTCATAACGCTTACTGATTTTTTACTTGATGCCAAGTGATCGCTCCAGAATTCTTTGGAAAGTTGAGGGGTTGTAAAACCTGGGATCAGAATGCAAACACAGCTGGAGTCAGTGTATGTGGACAGTAGTAATCTATGTTTTAAGCGTTCTAGGAAGGGACTCCATTAGCCCAGCTCCCTGAAGTCTTTAGGGTTTCTGATGTTCTAACTGGGTGTCTGTCTGTTCTGTAGATTCTGGAGGAAGCCGACCGCCAATTACGCAACCGGGAGGAAGACCCGCGAATGCCAAGCCCTTCTCGCCCCCCAGCGGCCCGGCGAGGTTTCCAGTGTCTTCTCCAGGCCACCGCAGCGGCCCCCCGGAGCCTCCCCGGAACCGGATGCCTCCGCCGCGGCCCGACGTGGGCTCGAAGCCCGAGAGCCTTCCCCCTCCAGTACCGAACACGCCGAGACCCATTCAATCGAGCCTGCACAGCCGCGGGTCGCCCCCGGTGCCCGCAGCCCCCCGGCAGCCCAGCCTGGGGCCCACGCCCCCGCCCTTCCCGGGAAGCCGCGGCGCGGCCTTCGGGGGCGGCTCCCTGCGGCAGACGCCGTCGGGCGCCGCCGCGCCTTTCTCCAGCCGGCCGCCCCTGCCCCCCACCCCGAGCCGGGCGGCCGACGACAAGGCGCCGCCCCCGCCGCCGCCCGTGGGCAACAGGCCGGCCCTGCACCGCGAGGCCGTGCCGCCGCCGCCCCCGCAGAACAGCAAGCCCCCGGTGCCCGCCTCGGCACGGCCCTCGCCCGCCGCCGCCTCGCCGGCGCCGCCCCCGCTGCCGCCCAGCCGGCCCGGCCCGCCGCCCCTGCCCCCCGGGGGCTCCGGCGGCGGCGACGAGATCCCGAGGCTCCCGCAGCGGAACGTGTCCCTCACCTCGTCCGCACCGCCCCTGCCGTCGCCCGGGCGGTCTGGCCCTCTGCCTCCCCCACCCACCGAGAGACCCCCTCCTCCGGTGCGGGAGCCGCCGGGCAGGTCAGGTGAGAGCTCGGCGCCCCCAGGTTCACCCACAACCCCAACATGCACACCCAGAAGCATAAGTAAGCCCTCGGATTGCTTCACACCTCTAAGTGACCGACCGGGATGGATGGTGGTCCTGGGACGCTTGTAAACCTCTGAGGTTTCAGTTCGCGTTTTTTAAGAAATAACCCGCAGCTAACTGGCCGGGTGGTAAGCAAATTAGTAACAAAGAGGCTGCGATTTTTCCAGTTCTGCACTGCCTACAGGCCAGGTCAGCCGCCCTCCTTGAAAATACAAGCTCATCTCCTGCAGGAGGGCCCAGGACTAACATGAAGGCAGTTAGGCCGAGCAGAGGAACCTTTTCTGTGTGTACTTGCCAGGCCTTGAGACCACTGGCCTGCTTCTTCAATGTTCGAAAGTCCATTTTGAGCTTTATTAACACTTACACATAAACCCCTCAGTGAGCCAAAGGTGTAATCAATAGACCTCTTTATAAAAATGCTCATAGCCGTAAACTCAGAATTTGTACGTTGGCGTAGGGATGTAGCTCAGTGGTAGAGGCCTTGGCCTAACAGGCCTGAGGCCCTGGGTCCATCTCTAGCACTGGGCGGGAGTGTCCCTGGCAAGCTGTCGAGCTATCCTATGGCTTGACAGGCACATCTGACCCCCAGCACAGGCTGACAAACTTATCCAAGGGAAGAGCTTTCAGAATATGAAATGACATGTGAGTATTTCATAGAGTTTGCACTTGATCTAATTATGTATAATAAGTTTTTGTTTTTGTTTTTACCGGTACCAGGGATCGAACTCACGACCACGTGCTTGCAAGGGCAGGCGCTTCTGCCGCTGAGCTAAATCCCAGCCCCGTATAATAAGTAGTTTTAATAGATTGATCTTTACAATCATTATCCTTGGACTTGGTACATCCATCTACTTTTTAAATACCACCTCACCTTAAATGACTCATCATATATGGAAATAGGGTATTTTTTTCTTTAGAAGTTAACTGACCTTTGACCCTAGGAACCTAGTAAACAACACTGCTTAATAAATCAGTGGTCCTCAGACTTGATCATACAGTAGAGTTACATGGAAGCCTGGGCTGCTTCCCAGGGATTTCTGATAGAATTGGTCCTGGATACAGAGGAGGTATGAGAATATTTAAGGTTCTCCAGTGTTAGTAATGCACAGTGGAGTTTGAGAACTACTCTTTCAAACGACTATGCCATGGAGAATGGGCTACAAATATTACAAACTTGCTAGTCCATTAAATCTAATCCACAGATATAGTGGCCTCTCATTAAGTTTTCTTCACAGAACAAATGAGTTGGGTATTCAGGTAAATGAACTGGGACATTTTTCTTTTCATCTAGCATCTAGGCATTTTCCCATAAAATTGAGAGACCTTTTCATATGACTATCAAATGGGTGGATGAGCATATTAAATCTTTCCCAAAATATTATATAGGCAGTGGCATATAACATGTATTCTTTCTTTGATTACATAAGTTATACCTGTTTAATTTAGAAATGGAGAGAAGCATACAGAAAAATCATTTTAATTCTGTCATCACTACCCAGAAATCATCAGGGATAACATGTTTGTATGTCTTTTTACACATATTTTTAACATCTTTGCAGTCTGTTTAAAATGCAGACACGTACATTTGTAACACTGGCATCACACTAAATACGTATTGTGTTAACTTGCCTATTTAACAATATCTCTAATATTTTTTGATATGAGTAAATATTCTACTACCTAACTTTTTAAATTTTAAAGTGAAAAAACAGTGACACAAAATTTCGAAACAAGGTAACAGAAAATTAACAATGGTTAATATATTGTGTATTGTTATCTTCAGAGTTGCTACTCAGATTACAAGATATAGGCATGTATGACTGATCAAATAATATAAGCGCAAACCATTTTTTAACGAACTGAAAGAAATTAGTATCCCTGTTTTAGCTATCTTCTGTATATATATGTTTTTTCTTTTCCCTTCTTTTTTCCTTTCACCCATCCCAGTTCCTTGCTTTTGAGCAATTTCTTTCCCTTTCACACTATCTATTGTAGATTTTGGATTTTATTTCTTTTTTCAGTTGTTTACACTAGGGAAATAATACAGTGTTTACAAATGCAAATTTATTTATTTCACTTACGAGTATGGTCTTTTACGTAAAAGTGTCTCCATTATATAAAAATACCACATCTTTTTTTTATCCATTCCTCAGTTGGTGAGCATTTGGGTTGTTTCCAAGATTTAACTATTACAAATCGTGCTGCCATAAACGTGGGTGTATGTATATCACTGCAGTATGATGTTCTTAACTCTTCTGAGACAATATCCAGAAGGGGAACAGCAGAGTTGAATGATACCTCTAATCATAGTCTTTTGAGGGATCTCCACACTAATTTCCACAGTGGTTGTACCAGTCTGCACTCCCACCAAAAATAGAGAAGGTTCCTTTTTCCCCACAGCCCTACCAGCATTTGTTATTGATTTCGTGATGATAGCCATTCTTTCTGAGATAAGATGGAATCTCAGTATTATTTTAATTTGCATCTCTTGACTGACCAATGATGTCCAACATTTTCTCATGTATTTATCTGGGAAGTATATATTCATCTCAGATGCCCATTTTTTGATTGAGTCTTTGAATTTGGGTGCCTGATATTTTTCAATTTTTTATATGTTCTAGATATAAGTCCTTTTAGTGACAGTTGGCTAAATTTTTTTCCCACTGTGTAAGTTTTCTTTTTACTCTGTTGGTGATTTCTTTTGAAGTGCAAAAACTTTTTAATAAATGAGATCCCAATTGTTGATTCTTCAAAATATTTCCTGTGCAGTTTGGTTTTTGTTCATCAACTCTCTGCCTGTCCCTATGTGTTCAAGATTTCTACCTCCTTTCTCTTCCAGTAGATTTAGTGCTTCTGTTTTAATATTTGGATCTTTAATCCACTTTGACTTTCATGCTTGGTGATAGACATAGGTCTAGTTTTAGTCTTTGGCATGTGAAAAGCCAGTTGCTCTAGCATCATTTATTAAAGAGGCTGTCTTTTTTCCAGTGAACGTTTTGCCTCTTTGTCAAAGACAAGGTGACCGAGTGTTTGTATTTGTGTCTATATCTTCTAAACTGTTCCATTGATCTTTGAGTCTTTTTTTTTTTTTTTTTGCTAGTACCATGCTGATTTTATCACAGTAGCTTTGTAGTATAATTTGAAATCAGGGATTGTGATGCCTTCTGCTCCTTGCCTTTGTTACCTAGGATTGCCCTTGCTATTCTAGGTCTTTCTATTCCAATGAATTTTAGGAGTATTTTCTCTAGATCTGTGAAATATGCGAATGCTATTTTGATGGGATTGCATCAAATCTGTATAACTGTTTTGGGAGTATGGTCATTTTCACAATGTTGGTTATTCCTATCCGTCAGCTAGTATATCTTTCTGTTTTCTGATATCCTCATCAATCTTTTTTCAGAGTGATGTAATTTTCAATGTATAGATCTTTTATTTCCTTTGTTAGATTGATTATTTTTTTAGATGCTGTTATGAAGGGTGTGGATTCCCTAATTTCTCTCTCAGTGAGTTTGTACAACCTAATTTTTAATGGCTCAATAATATTAGATCGTACAAATGTTCCTTCATCTCTTTAACCAGTTCCCACCCTTGGTTATAAAGGCTGTCTCTAGATTTGTGCTGTTGCAAATAATATGCTCATACATCCTGGTTGCTAAATATTTGTTGCATCATTGTGTATTTCCTTTGAATGAATTCCTAGAGATAGAATTTCTGGGTCTAAGATTATACATAGCAAAACTATGGATTTCATGAGTACTGCCAAATTGCCTTCCGGAAGTTTCCTACCATTTAAATATCAAGGGCCATCTATATTTTGAAATTTGCTTTGGTTTCATTGTTAGGGGACTGGGCTTTAGAATTTTATGTTATTGAGATTAAATCCTGACTCTTCCATTCATGAGCTTCTTGACTCAGTACTTTAAGCCTCTGATCCCTCAGAGGCCTTGTCTACTGGTCCTGTACTTCTCATCGTTACTATAAAAACTAAATGAGACAAATGTGTATAGAGGTTATTTTACTCTTTTCTTGGAGTTACATTATTCAGTAAATGATCATATTTATTATTATCCTGACAATGAGAAGTAGAAACCTATTTGCTATTGTGCCAGCCTGAGTATGGACCTGGGTCCATGAGATTACAGAATAAGGAACATGAATGTTTACTTCGAAAACAAAAATGAGATGAAGTTAATCAAGTTTCATACGACAGGCTTTATAATGTTGGAAGTCTAGTTTACATTTAGTGACAGAGGACTCATTTCCACCAGTAAGTCAAGTCTTGCTACCCCGGACTCTGGTAGATGGGGCAGTAAATAATACAAGGTGACATTGCAGTGTCCTTGAGACATCACCCTGTGCTGAGGGGTGGCTCCCACCCCCACCAGTGTTTAAGTCAGGACTGTCAGGCAAATCTGTAATGGGTGGGTTGTTCTGTTTATGGTCTTCAAATTGGATTCTGAATCTATAGGTAATGAAATATTTACATTTATGGTGCCATAAGACATTGTATACATGAAACGTCAGCATGTTACAAATGGAATGTGCCACTGCAGATCAGGACTTTTACTAAGATCACTTGGAATTACATAAAAAGTGCTTGCTTTTTTTTTTTTTTAATATAACTCATTACCCAAAATAGTGTCTGCATGTGGAGAAAAGAAAAAGCAAGATCGGTTTCTTTTGTATTATTTTATAAAAGACTTTACTTTGAATTCTTTTTGGAAACTAAAATTTTCTAGTTATACCACATCACTGCATTTTTTTAATGGTTTCTAGTACTTCTACAAAACTTGTAACTTGTTTTTTGGCATGTTACTCCTGGCAGCAGCACTCTGAGAAAAGTGACTGTCTGATACCCATTATAGACAGGGACCAAGCTCTACCGGGCGGCAGCTGCTCAGGGCAGGACGCACAACGGCATTGACAGCTAGGAATATTGATTAGCAATTTGTCACTGCCTGGGCTCATCTGCCTCCTCAGAGAGGAGGAACCAAGAGGGACCTCCTGCTGTCAGGGTGACTCACATTCGGTTTCCTGATGTGTCTTCCGCCTAGAAGTAGCTCGTGTGGTTCACAGAAACATGCGTGTGCAATTACACAATAAGACGGTGCCATCAAAGAACTTAGTTCTTAAGCCTAAAATAACTTCATAACCATCTTACTCTTTTTAAAAATTTTTTTCATGATGTCACAATAATCAGATTCTGTAACTCTTTAAAAGGATTAAAAATGATTTTTAAATTACATGGTGGTTAGTATAAACAGATTGTCACCTGTTTTCAATTTCACTGCACTATCTCCAGCCTCCACGCTAACTCAAAGGCACTCAGCCGTTGAACTATCAGTGTGTGCTTGCTGTACAGATAAGCATGGCCCATGTGCACTTTCCTGTTCATATGTGCAGTTGTTTTTCGTGTCCTGGAAAGTCTCCATGTCCCCTAGATAAAGGCCGAATATCCAGCAGGCACTCAGTAGTTGCACACCAATGATGACCACGATGGCAGTATGGGACATAGGGAAGTAGTGCACTAAATGTTGTCCTTTCCTTTGTTCCAGGGCCCCTCCCACCACCACCACCGGTCAGCAGAAATGGCAGCACAAATCGGGCCCTGCCTGCCACCCCTCAGTTGCCGTCCAGGAGTGGAGTAGATAGTCCCAGGAGCGGGTCCAGGCCTCCCCTTCCTCCTGATAGACCTGGTGCTGGGGCACCGCCCCCACCACCACCTGCAACATCCATTAGAAACGGCTTCCAAGACAACTCAGGGGAAGGTGGGTAGTGACTGTGAACTGAATTAGCATTTCTTGTTCCCCCATTGTCATCACAGGGTGCACTGATCTAACAAATCTCTGGGTCTACTAGGACTTCAGGTTAAAAATAGCAATCCCCTCTCCCAGCTTCCACAAAGGCAGGTTGTTTTTCTCTGACTGGTTCTTTGTTTAAGCTCATTTTGGTTAACTTTCCAGGGAGTCTAAAATTCTAGAAAGAACCACTTTTGCCTCTTACTTTCTTACTAGCTGTATTTCTAAAAAGTTGGCTATAGGAATGAGACTCAGTAGCCTGCAGATACCAAGCCACTTTCCACTGCTGTGTTGTCAGAGTGGTCCTGGTCATTCCAAGGCCCACTTCGGGGAAGAAAGCTCTCCCACCTGTTAGCTCCGAGGGACCGGCTAGATCCTAATCTCTCCTGTATTCAGTTCGCCGTACTGGGGACAAAAAAGTCACTTTGATTTTACCAGTACATTTTATCAGTGTACCAGTCAATGACATTTGTAGCATTTCCAGCTTTTCTATAAACTAAACATAAAACTAGAACTGGTTTCTGCAGGTCTGTCTGTATTTCATTCTGTGCCTTTCGTTACATAAGTCTTGGTAGCAGATTGTCTGTTGCTGAACATGCTGTTTGTTTCTACCCTAGATGAGTGGGAAAGCAGATTTCACTTCCATCCAGTTTCTGATTTGCCACCTCCAGAGCCATATGTACCAACGAACAAAAGCTATCCTAGCAAACTGGCAAGAAATGAAAGCCGGAGTGAGTATTTCTGCCAGGGAAGTTGGCAGATTTGTACTTGAATGACCTGAGTATGCTCAGGTTGGCTAAGATTCAGAGCCTCTTGCCTGGGGTCAGGTAGAGAACTCCATTTGGAGCCATCTAAACCCTGGCAAGTTTCCTTTCCATGTACAGTAAGAAGATGGGAAATATACAGAGTGTACATGGGAAAGGATTCTTAGCTGGGCATGGTGTGCACACCGATAATCCGGACACTCTGGGAGGGTAAGGCAGGAGAATCACAAGTCTGAACCCAGCGTGGGCAGCTATGCTTATCTGAACAATCTTCCCCCATTTTGATCTTCCTGAAACAGCACAGGTAGAACTATCTTTTATCCTACCAGTTTTGAGACTAGTAAAATGTTTTATTAATTATCACAAAAACTCACTAAAGCCTCCTTGATCTTTTAAATGTATTATAACCATAGCTTTATGTAGCGTTCTGTGAAATGTTAAATATATTCATATTCTCTCCAAAAAACAGATTTTAGCAGGCTGTCTTTCTATTCTTGTCCATACAATTCAATTGGATATGGAGTCTCTCACCTGTAATCCCAGCACTTGGGAGGCTGAGGCAGGAGGATCACCTTGAGATCAAGGCCAGACAGAGATGTATAATGAGTTCAAAGCCAGCCTGGACTACATGACAAGACCCTGTCTGAAAAACAAAACAAAACAGATCAAAAAACCCTATCTATGCAATTCAGTTTTTTATATAGTTATAGTGACAGTATATAGGTTTTTGGTGGTAGGGTTTATATATCATTGCTTAGTAAACACTTTCCATTTTATCACATAGTTTTTATTCCATAAGAGTCCAGCCAGCCAGTGTGCAATAATTTAGCATTCCTGGACATTTATTTAGATTGTTTCTGGTTGTTCGATAATATGTTATGGTGCCATAAAGAAGGAAATTATTTTCCTCATTGAACAATAAATGTGAACAAGAAGGAGAAGTGCACATACTGCTATTTCACAACCTGTTCAGGACTGAGAAATAATTAGCATGAAATACACAAAAAGCCCAATGAAGTTCAGACTTGTACAGCCTTAGCCCCAGAACCAGAGTAAGCAAATCAAGTAACTCCCAGCTTCCCTCGTCACATCCTTACTCTCCAGCAGAGCCGCTTACACATCCCCTGATTGTTTCTTAACACACAGTTCTTAAACAATTTTTGGTGGTTGGTTCCCAGTCTAAGAGCAGATTCGTATCGACTGAAGTTTAGGATAATTAGAAGCAGAAATACTGACACTGGAGGGAACAGGTAGATGTCAGTCTCAGGACAAAAGAGGAGTAAGGGACGCAGCTGTACCAGATGGTACAGCACAGGACAGCACCAGTGGCTCCTTTGGCACTTTGTGACTCTGTTGAAGAGTTCAAAGCATTAGAAGATGTTTGGGGCAATTTCCTTGAATAAATTCCAGAAGTAAACAGAACATTGCTGCTTGAAAGAAAAAACTCTTTAATTCCTAGAAAAATACACTTAGTTACAATACTACAGTCCTTAAAAATGTGTAATAAGGGGGCTGGGGATTTAGCTCAGCGGCATAAGCGCCTGCCTTGAAAGCAGGCAGTCGTGAGTTCGGTCCCTGGTACCGATAAAAAGGAAAAAGACCAAAAAAAAAAAAATGTGTAATAAAAAGTTTTAATTAGAATAAAATTATCTTATGAATAGTTGAGAGAGAGGCATGCTAGTGTGTGCCTCTAATCTCAGCACTAAGGACGCTGAGGCAAGAGGATTGCAAGTTCATGACCAGTCTTGGTTACATAGTGAGATTCTCTCAAGAAAAACAAAACAAGACTTAGTAGTTGAAATTTATGATGAAACCTAAGTGTTCACTGGGATCAGGTACCCTTGAGTGTTTTATATGTATCAGAAACTGGCTTGTGTCTGAAAAGAGTATTTCTTGCATTCTTTCTAAGTCAGTTAATACAGTCATCTTCGCCATACCCTGTAGAGTTTTAATTTTATAGCTGAACATGTTTCCTTTTTCCTTTCCTTTCTGTTTTTGGTGTCAAACCTTCACACTATGTTAAGGCCAGCCTGAACTGCATAGCGAGACCCTGCCTCAAAAAAGACAAAAAAAAAAAAAAACAAAAAACCTTCACACTATGTCCCCTTTCTAAACGGATTTTTTCAAGGGTCTCCCTAAATGACTACACTGCCCGAGTTGGGCTTGAGTTTGCAGTCCTCCCGTCTCAGCCTCCCAGACTGTTGAAATTACAGATGTGTGCCACCACACCTGGGTTGAGGTTGAAAAGAACAACTTGCTAGAGCAACACCCTGCGCAGTATTGCATACTCCCTGAGTGACATAGAACCTGACATATAACAGGCATTTTAAAATATTTTTAAACTGATAAATTTCTACTGTCCTCCAAAATGCTTTTTGGAGATTTTAGATAACAGATCATCTAACAAAAGTAAATAAGATACTGTTGAGTACCAAGTTTTATTCAGGTCCTGTGACTGCCTCAGCCTCCAAGGCCAGAGCCTGGTAGAGCACCCAGGCAGCCCTGAGCCCCGCAAAGCATGCTGCAAATGCCACCTCATGGCAGTGTCAGACAAGGCGGGCCCTTATTTCACTAAGCATTTGTGATGTGTCAGTTTACAGTCAAGGCTCCGTGCTCAGGGGCTGCTTAAGAAAAGACTGGGTTGGAACGGTGAAAGGATTTGACGACTCAGTGGACTGCCAGGATTTTCCTGCATCTCCTCTCCTTGCCTGGAGATTCGTTTCTGTCTCAGAGGTCCCTAAGCGTCTCAGATGTCTCTCAGTCCATAGGGTCACTGTCAGGATGCCTAATGAAGAACACCTCCAGTGCCAGCCCTGAATCTCAGAGCAGTGGCCAAAGCAGACCTGTTCACCTCCCCTGTGCCTCAGGGAGACCTGGCCACAGCCTCATCCCCCAGCTTCATGCGTCAGACCTATTTCAACTTTAAGATGTGAATGAATTTTAGACCTGGTTTAAAATGAATGTGAATAGCTTTAAAAAGAGCACATCAACAAAGTGAAAGGCAACCCACAAAATGGGAGGAAATATTTGGAAATTATACACTTGATAAGGGATTAATATTCAGAATATATAAAGAATTTCTACAACTAAACAAAACATATCCTTCAGTTCGTGAGCATGATGATGGGTGTTCATGCGGTATGCATGAGCTGTGTGTCCCTCAAACCTTGTTACAAACCCTACTGAGCATGAATACTTAAATAGACATTTCTCTAAAGAAGATATACAGATGGCCAATAAGCACAAGAAAAGATGCTCGATATCACTAATCATTAGGGAACTGTGAATAAAACCACAATGAAATACAATTTCACACCTATTAACCTGCCTTACCCAACAAATGAAGTGATTAGATAAATTGTATAGTTTTATATAATAGGATGCAGTGTGTTATTAGTTATATTTGCAAAGGGTATTGACTTTGTTCTCTTTCTAGAAGTAAAAGGGAACTGTTTCTAAATGGAAATTATATACATAACTGCTCTCAGTTATCTCTGGGTGGCACAAGCATGGGGAAATTTATTTTATTTTGGTTTTGTTCATATTTTCTAAATCTATAATCAACACTATGGGTAAGAAGAAAAGCATGTGTTTTTGCTGAGCCCTGTGCACCTCGTCAGTAGAACTGGTGGTCACCATCTGGTAGCGTTTATTCCCATTGTTCTGTGCTTATACCTTGGTCATGGGGTGAGGTAGTGGGTACCTCTGCAGCCATCCCTCATTTCCATAGTGGAATGTAAGCTTTCTAACCAAAATTATATTGTCTGTTTTTTCATCAAGGTGGATCCAGTCGAAGAGAAAGGGGTGCCCCACCCCTGCCTCCCATCCCAAGGTGATGTTTGCCTGCTCTTCTCTCTCTAGACTCCAGAGCACCTTCTGATGTTGCTGTCTGAGAACTGCACACCCGCTTCCTTTTGTCCTGTCCCCTTCATTTGTGGCAGGAAGAAGAGAGGGTGAGGGGAATTTGTGTGTGAAGGGGGTGGGGATCCAGTAGAGAAATGCACCTAGCTTTCGATGTTCTGTATATTCTCACAGCTATTGCTTGCTTCGGCTACAGCCTGCCAGTGTTGGCTTTGGGATCTATAGACTTTTATGCAAATAGGTAGAGACACATTGTATCCCGGGCCTCAGCCAAACACTGCCTGCATTTGCTACAGGCTGTAATTATGAAAGCCCCTGAGAGCTATTATTGCAGTGCTTTTTTCACAGGCTTGGCCTCCTGTGAGGCTGTTTCCATGAACCACAGAGGCCAAGGCAAGTTGCTAGGCAAGGGCTCCCACAAGGCTTTTGCAAGTACTGATGCCCAGTCCTGAGCATTCTGAGGTAGGCCGGAGGACAGAGCTGTCCAATGGAAATATAATGTGAGCCCCGTATATAGTTTTTACATTTCTACTAGGCACATTTTTATAAAGGTAAAAAGAAAAAGGAGAAATCAATTTTAATATATTTCATTTAGGCCTATACTTGCAAAACATCATTTCAACCTCTGATCCATTTCAGAATTATTAATGAGCTGTTTTACATTCTGTTTGGTACCAAGTCCTCCAGGGCCAGCATGTATTCTTCACTCAGCACCTCTCCACTCGGACCAGTTACCTGGCAAGTGGTTGGTAGCCACAGGTGCCTGGTGGCCACTCTGTTGGACAGCACAGGTCAGGAAGATGGAATTTAGTATAAAGCCTCTTGTTTATAAGATGAGCTTTAGAGATTCAAGAGGTACCTAAAAATCAAGTTGGGACCCAGCACTTTGTGGGGCAGACAGCCTGACCCTAGATGTTGGTCCCTTCTCTTTCCTCTTCCTTTCATGTCTGTGAACAAGTATTGCTTCGCAGAATCAAGGTCAGAAATTGATCTCATATGGTTTACAACCACATGGAATAAAGCCATGGGAAAGAAACAGAAAGCTGTGGGGGCTTCCAGGCTCAGCTCCAGCTGCCTTGTGCTGTCAGAAGCCTCCTGCCTTACAAAGTTGAGGTCGCCTTTGTTCCCCTTCCGCTGAGCAAGCTCCTCAGGCCAGCAAAGACTGGGGAGACTGAGGGGTGGGGAGAAAGATATCAAGACAGAAGCGTAGAAATGTGTAACAGATTTGAATTAATGGGCAAAACTCTTAAAAATCTAACTCTGAAGCTTATAGGAGTGAGTTGGGGAGCTTGCTAGTAGAATTAGGGAGTGAGTTCCTTTGAATAGAGTCATTTGTCCTAGATCTATGCAAATAAAGTTCCACTTAAGGGCCAAAAAGGAAGAGCCAACCTTGCCTTTTTTTATGTGATTTTGTTTACAAAATTTTACTGAGACTTTTAAGTCTAGCTATAGAGTTGGAAAAAATATATTCCACTTTGATGTTTTCTATGGTTATGTTTAAAATTGCCTTTCTTCATTTTATAAAAGCACATGGTCACATATGTGTATGTCTATTTACCTAAACTTTGTATTAAATTCAGTGTATTGTTCATGGATTACTGGGAAATACTAGCAAGGAATCAATCCAAAGAAAAATTTGCAAGATGCATTCCTATTTATAGACTAAATGTTGCATTTATATAAAAGCAGAACTTAAGAGTTCTAATAAATGGAATGTATAATAAATTCTGAAATTGTTGATTTGAATATATTGTACTTTTATAACTTCCCTTGCCAAAGTCCTATGCTGAGTACATTAGAGAACTTGTTTTCTTCCCCTTCCTGTACAATTCCTCTACCTTGTGGCTGTCATTACTTGGAGCCATTACTCAAGAGAACAAGAAATATAAAAGTATAAAACAAGCTTGGCCAAAATATTTCTTAATTTTTTATATCTGATTTGGTAATTTAGCAGCATGATTTTATTTTGAATTCTTTGTTCTGACATCAGCTGTGACTAACACCTACACGATAAAGCCTAATACCCAAGTCACAAAAGATAACACTGGGGCTTCCTAATAGATTGGCAGAGGAAAGTCTGACCCCAAGACAGTAGGTCTGAATTTTGTAAAGTATAAAATTTATGAAGAGACCTGGACAAGTCCTTGCGTATCTTAACTTTGGCAGATACCTTTCTAAAGTATGAAACAGAATTACAGCTCAAAATTGCCTTTCATCTGGAAAAGAGATGTTTTAGAATATATTTTAAGGGAGTGTTTCATGAATACACCTATACCCTTTCTTAGAAAATTAGCACTTAATTGCACCCACAACTTTGAGTTTTATATGAAAATCTTCAAACCTTGGCAAATCATAAAAATGAGCACTTTTCCCCTCGAAATCAGAAGTTCACTTGCATGTTTTTTCTGTAAGATTTCTAAATAAATGTATTCAAGAGCCAATACAGTATTTTAACATTCACATATCATTTTATATTGAAGTGTATTACAGTATTAAAATTCAGTGTTCTGTATTTATTTCATTATGCATTTTATTTAGTAAAGCCAAGAAAAATATTTAATCCAATGGTGCCTTACTTCGTGATTTGAAACAAATCAACTTTTTATGTCTTAGTAGCAGATTATTTGCCTGTTTTTGTAAAATCTGTTAGGCTTTATCTTTCGACTTGTAATACCAATTTTGTTATTTTAGTAGCAGAAATGAAATGATTGTTAAAGCACCCTAACATTTTGGTATGAAATTAATTTCTCCCTAGTATAGTCAGGGATTAGAGAGAAGAAGAATAGAAATAGAAGAAAAATATTTTTTTATGCCATTGCACTGCGTAAACAGACATATCTTGGTATCTATGTCATTAGGATAGTTTAAATGGCAGGGTAGAATCTACCCTAGACATCTACGTCTTTGTAAGTTAGCCAGACAATAAATAAAGCAGAATGATACAGTGTCAACTGGTGGTTTTTCTTTAAGTAGTGAACATAAGTAAACATAAATGAAAAAGCAAATGCTTGTTTTCTGTTTTATGCCGTGGTGGTACAGAAAGACAAACTAAAAAACAAAACATGTTGACGAAAATAAAGGCCACAAAGGTCCACACAGTAAACATTCATCACTCCTCCTGGCTAATCTCTTCTTGTCTGTTTTCCCCAAGAACCTGCATCTTAGTCTGTAAAAGGGATAGTGGAAGCTCTGAAGACTAGCACAGACATTGAGAAATCTTGGAAAAGCCATGGGGGATTAAGGAAGCCTGATAATTTGTCAGATTATCTGCCCTACTGTATGGGCACACTGCGTTCACATTATTTCACCATGGCACAACAGTCAGGAGCCTCGGAAGACCTGCTCCATCCCTTTCTTACAAGTTTCTTTTACCCTGTTTGTGACCTATGAAGTGAGGAACACCCAGCAGCATCACTGTGTGCTCATCACCGAGAACAATGCACTCAGCACTGACTGTGGGCATGTGCAGTAAGCTACCAGAATGAAGGAAAAGTACTTACATACTGTTCCCACATTCACTGAGATCAGGTCAACTAGAAGGGGACTTACCAGTGTGTTTTTAAAGGAAAGGAACACTAGCAGAAAAATGCCCCCATCTGAAATGCAATGTAACCTCTAGGAAAGGTGCTATCAATTCCTACATCTCAAAACCAGCAAATGAAGCTCATTCCTTCAGTTACCAAAGAAACATTATTATGTTCAATTTGAAATTATAGACCTTAGGAGTCAGAAGCTTAAAAGAGGCCAACCATAAAACTCCCAGTGCACTTCTGAGATGAGAAAAGATGTTTGCATAGTTGCCATGATGCAGCAGGGGCCAGGCCATGTGGTCACTCCGTGGTACCCAGTTGAGTCCTGCTATCTTACAGAGGGGCAGTGCAGGGTCCCAAGTGATAGCTTGTCAGCAGACACAAAGTTTGCTGTTTACTATCCCACACTCCCATCTTTTATCACACACACCCATCTTCATATGTCACCGTTTTCTGCAAAGAAGTATCTGGAGAGGATTTTCCCTTTACACTAGATCTGGACTTGAATCCTGACTCTGCTACTTGCAAAGCCATACATGAGTTATTTAAACTCTGCTCTCTTTTGTTCAAGAGCCAAAAGTTTATAAAGCTTAAATATACAAACATCAAAATAGCTACCATAGTCAGGTGCTTCATGAAAGCTAATTCTCTTTCATTTCCCAACCCTTCTACCATCAACCTGGCTGATATTGAGGAAAGAATTCTCAGTGCGGAAAAAAAAAAGAAAGGTCTGACGACTTAGAAGTAAAGGTTGATTTCATAACTGGCTTCATTTGTCCAAACCAAAACCATTTACATAGTTCATTCATCCAGGCACTAAATTTTCAGTGACGACTTGCTGTGTGGCAGCTTCGCTGAGAGCAATCCTCATTTACACTGATGCAGGGATCTGTAAGTGGCAGGGTAGGAGGCTGCCACTTGCCCACTGTGTGTGGCTGCAGCCATTCGCCCAGCCAGCGTAGGACTTTGAGCCAACAAAGCAAATATTTCATAGCTGTGTGTGCACACGTGACACTGCCTGAGGTAATTTACTTGGTTTCCTTTTTTCTTGTCATCTCAGTGGGTGGGTAAATCATACTCATTTTTTGAAATTGTTCTAGCCTACATGAAAATGTGGAGGGGGACAGGATGTACAGAGATTTTTTTTTTTTTTGATGGGCCAATAGGTATCTTTTTTTGTTGTCAGCAGTTTAGAATGACACTTTTTACCCTGAAGTCTTTACAACCTCCACTGTGAACACGGCATCTCTGCCACTCCAGTTAGCAGATCCATGTTCCCTGTTGGTGTTTAGGAATGTCCCACCCATCACCATTCCAACACAATTCCTGTGTCTTCCAGTGCTGCTTCCTTTATTACAAAGCTAGATTCTCAAGAAGCAAATTGAACTCAAAGTTTGGGACCCCTCAACTTTAGGGGGGCTCCTTGTAATTAAGAAATTTTATATCTACTTTGTTAGTTGTGACCTTTTATTATTTCTCTTGATAAAGCATCTTAAACTGTCAATAGCTTCAAGCCTTACAAAGCCTGATTCTGTCCTTACATTATTGTCCTCCATAGCTTCTGACACAGAACTCAGTCTTGAAAACTTTCTTAAACCACCAGCTTCCCATGAGTGACATAAGTGCCCTGACAGATACTAGATGGCAAGTGTTTGCCTCCTTTGTACTCCTGCAGTGGCCTATAAATATTCTAAAATAATTTGGCCATTGAGCTGCCCACAATTGCAGTAGAATCACATGTGACCAATCTAGGAAAATATGCTTGACCTTTGAGGTGCCTGGGAAAGAAGTCTGTAGGGCGTTAGACTCTTAGCTCAAGTTTAGCTTAAATTTTGACCAGGGATATGGATGCCAGGATGCCTGGAGTAACCATCATAGATGTTCAGTCTTAAGCGAATCCCACATTTTCCAGGTTTCTGTCTTTCATAGAAAGTTGAAGGTCAGTCCTCAACATGCCAAGTCCCTGAACCAACAGACAATTGAAGAGACTCATGTTTTATGGAGCTATTGTACATTTATTCATTCAAATCATCAACACTAGTTAAGAAACTGTGATTCATTAAGCACTGGGAATAGGGTATGTGTTACACAATACAAAGTTGTGCTTGCACTAGAAGCAAGGGTGTGAGTTTCAGTTCTAGATCTAACAAAAACTTCTACCAGTAGATACAAACCCACTCTACTACAGCTCTGGAATGCTCACCACCACCGACACAGGTCTGTGCTTGGTTGGCTGTGTGAAGAAGAGGAAATCCCCCTTTTTACTCACTCCTTAGAGACTTACTCTTGAAGCAAAAGCATGGATAGGTGCCAGAGGGAAAAAGGAAAAAGATTTAAGGTAATTAAAAAGACTTAACAGTAATCTTATACCAATCAAAACACTGGTTTACCTAAATATCACTCACGTACTGTCTTTGTCATATAACTACCACAGAGTCTTTGCTTATCTTTATGTCTCTGCATGCAAAGAAATTAAGGCCTGGGGGGATTAGAAATCTGCCTAAAACTACTTGCTTGAGTAGATCTAGAATTCAAACTCAAGCCTGCTGATGTTTCATAAAAGCAAGGAGACTTTAATAATCCAAAACAAGATTAATCTCACTCTAATCTTACAGTAAAAGGTAGCAAGCTCAATTGAAGGAATGTTCTCTCAAGGAGAATTCCCTGCATTGTCCTTTCTTCCCTTTGTGCACCATAGACTGGCTCTAGTTCTGCATCCGCAGTTGCCCTCTGAGACATTGCTCCTTGGCTATGTCTAACTGCTTTGTTCTTTACAGTCAGGAGTAGTTATAATCCCTGCTTTGAGTTCCTGTCAGGAACATTATACACCTGTACTTTTCGGTTCATCTGATCAAATACCTGTTAGCTTAAGGTGATCTGAGATGAGCTGTTAAAATTCAGAGGTCATGTCATTAAAGAGTTGCAGATTTCTGAAAGTCTGCATAGCGGGGTCAAACTGCAGTGTGAATGATTTCTGTCTTGTATCTGCCATTATTAGCAGTGTCTATTACTTGTGGGGTATGTCTACCATCCATATCATAAATTTATAGCACCCAATTCATGTTTTACTCTCTTTGGAGTTGGCAAATCCATGTGGCTACCAGGCATAGTGGTGCATGCCTATAATTCCAGCACTTGGGAGGCTGAGGCAGGAGTATTGCTGCAAGTTCAAATCCAGCCTATCAAGGCCATCCTGAAGTACAGAATCTGACCCTGTGTCAAAAACAAAAAACAAAAAACAAAAAAACCCCAAAGTGGATCTTTTAAATACCAAATGATAGGATTTGCTTTCCTGTAAAAGCCAGTAGATCTTGTGTGCCTCAGTCATAAAAGCCAGCACTTAACTACAGGGGAAATGAGGTTAAGCAAAAAGACAGTCACATTCATATTCAACAGAACTGAAATAAATGCCTCCACAGTTTCAAAGGTTTTTCCATACATTACCTCATTTGTACCCTGTGCAATCCTCTGGGGGAGGGAGAAACTGATCCCCCATACTGCAGATGCAGGGCTATCAGCACTGGGAGATAAACTGATTGGAACAAGATCTCACAACTTGCAGCTTGGAGACAAGCAGCCCCAGAGTACCTCTCTGACTAGTTCAGTCATGCTCTTCTTGTTGCATTTTTCACCCCATTGTCCTCATCCATTTGACAAACACTGTTGAGCATCTGCTCAATAATTAGGAGGCACGGGGCAAGCCCAGCTGAAGGGATAAGGCTGGGCCCTGACAGTATGTCTCAGGAAGCTTGGGGTCTTGGAGTGGGGGACTCCTGAGGCCAGGGCACAAATAGCTCTAGAGCCAGGCAGAATTCCATGTTATTCACAAGCTTGAAATAATACATCATGAGACTCCAAGAAGGACTGACTTCCGAGAAAGTGATCGGGCCTCAGTGCGGCATTCACGTGTGTCACCCTAATCTCCTGGCTTAGACCTTCAGTGTCACTCACAAGTGAAGTGTGGCGTACCTCACTGGCTGATATGAGAAACCCCAGAGCCCAAGGAGTTGGTATTTTTAGCAAGCACATTCAGGCTTCATGCAGAACCACTATTCTGAAGGTTTTGCCCTGGAATCAGGCCTTTAACATTATATTTATATAGACAGACTTCATGATATAATGTGAAGAGTAAGTCACTAAGGTGGCCTTCACTTTTTTTTATACTTCTTTACCTAAAACTGGCCCATGCATACTGATGCATTAGGGTGTTATCTGTCTCTAAAATACTTTCCCTAAAAATTGTCTACCAAATAAGCCTTATTATCTCAAGTGAAGAAACCAAAAAAAAGTGTTCACACTGTAGAATTCCACTTGTATGAAGTATCTAAAAGAATGAAGTTCATAGAAAAGGAAAGCAGAATGAGGGCTGCCAGGAGCTAGGGGTACAGGGGCAAGAGCTCACTGGTTTAAAAGATGTAGCT